CTGAGCTACATCCTCAAGCCCAATTATAACTTATTTTGAAAGATTTTACTTGTGAAGTAAAATTCTTTCTTTCATTGGAGGTGAAAGTGTGAGGTGATCAGGAAGTTTCTTCTGGAATTTTCTCAAGTCCTTGTATTCTAAAATAGCCTGTGATACCAACCAAAATGGTAATAAATTCTTCGTCTTTCTTTGTTCTTTCAGTCAGAGGTATTTATTAAGTACCTACTGTGTGCTTAGCACTCAAAGTTGATAAAAATTATAGTTAAAAAAAATGGCTTTTAGCCACAGGCCTTTTCCAGCAAAAAGTAAGAAATAAAAGATGAGAGTGATGTTTGACAATTCCTGGAAATTTCCTGAGAAAAAATGAAATTGAGAATTTGTGCACAGTGCCTTGCCCATAATAGGTACTCAATAAACAATTATTCCTCATAGAGTCTCTTGCCATGGTTTATAGTGTTTTATGAAATTTGTCTTAATTGAAAAAAGACCAAATATTTCAAATAAGCTTATAGGCAGCTGTGTCCAGTTAAAATATAGGGTTGTACAGTTAGCTCATAGAATGTTATTTTGCACTAGTCGTCACTTAGGAAGATGGGGTTCCTGTAGATTTTTGGTGCTAAGGGATACTTTGTCATTATGATGAAGTAAGTATTAAGTGTCAGATAAATAGCACACAGAATAGTTCTTTCTGCTGGTCTGTTTTTTTTTTCCCTTGTTGTTTTAAATTGTAAAATGTTATCAATCAAACTATTGTAGCAGCTACAAAATAATTCACCAGCATGACAAAATGGTCAAAAAATAAGTCATCAGCACTTCAGAAATGAAAGCAACTTTTGAAATTTTCTTTTAAAATTGTCAAATATATTTTATGAAGAATTTATAAAAGGGGGGAAATGATTGTAATTTATTGTTCATGACAGTTTTGTTTTTTTTTAATAAAGTGAGTTTCAACAAAAAATTCTTCATTGCTGCTTTGGTGGCTCTGTAAGTAGTGCTATCGTGCTTTCATTCATGAGCATAAAATAGAGGGTATAAAACTTGAGGCAGTGAAGTTTCAGGCTTACCTACTAAATGATATTCTCTTAAATAGATGCTCTTGCTGAGGAAAATATTAATTATAGGAATTTCAATATTTCAAGTTCTCTAAAATTTGCTAAATTGCTGTATTTGCCTTGTATGCAGGAAACGTGTACTGCTTGAGATAATTTTTTTTCATTTATCCTTCTATTTTAGCTGAGTACGCATCCTAGATCCAATGATGTGTATTAAATTAAGGATGCAATGTTTCAATCAATAATGAGGCTGAGGTTTCTTTTCTATAACGAAGTCATCTGTGGCCCACTTTTTTTTTTTCTTTACAGGTTTTATTATGTATGCCTGAGGATGCAGCCTACTTGGTGATCCAAAGATTAGGAAAGTAGGCATCAGGAACTGTGGTTGCTCCTGTCACTGCCACCTGCTCCTGGTCTAGCCATTATAGATAGGAGGCTTTTGCTTTCTACCTAAAGATTAAAATTTTTAAACTGAATATTAAACTCTACATATTTGTAGTTACTAGCATTTTTGTAAGCCTTTAGAGTTTACAAAGCACTTTCAAAATGGTTTCTGCATCTTTTCATATCATATCTGACTTAAAATAGGGGCTGATTTCTTGGTGAAGAAATCAACAGTAATAACACCAGTGTCTGCAGTAGTGATAATGGTTGAACCCTAAGACAGGGTTTTAGTGCCCAGTATCCGACTCCAGCTGGAGTTTTCTCTGACGACAAAGCTTTATCTTCCTCACGGAAATAACCCTTGGTTGTTTTGGCTTTTTTCTTTAAGTTCAAATGTTGCTCTTTTGGTCAGCCAATCATAGCCACGCTCTAAAGTGCAGTGTAATGACAGACAGTTGGTTTGTGGTTAGATAATAACTTCTACTTAAGAAAACCTACAAAGAGGCCACACCCCTAAAAGGCAAAGTGCATCTTTTAAAGACAGTACTTTCACCTTTGCAATAAGTTTTCATTGGTTAGCCGGGAATTGTTTAAAAAAAAAAAAAAAAAAGCCCTGGGCTTTTGACTTCACTCTTTCATTTCCTTCTCAACCTAGTATTTCAAGCTTAACTTGTTTGGAGCAGAAGTTAAGCAACTTGATACTACAAAAGCTGTCCTGGTCTAGCTGCAAAAGCACAGGATTTGGTGTGGCAAACCTGATGTTGAATACTAGCCTTTGCAAATACTTTCATAATTAATGTGTGTCACTGGGCAAGTTGCTTCATTCCGAGGCTCAGTTCTCATATCTGCAAAATGGAAATGATGATATTTACACTTCAGAGGGTCAAATAGTAAACATGAAGTGCCCAATATAGCACCTGGCACACTAAGTTCTCAAAGGGTAGCCATTGTTACTGTATTATGAATTTGATATGATGAATGAATGGATTCCCCATTAGGCAGTCTTTGGTTGCAGCTTTGATTCTTCTCCCCTTTGAAAAATGAAGGTACTGCCGATGAAGATACTGCCTCCTCTCTTCAGGAAAATGTTCACTTATAATTTTAAGAGATTTATGGGTCTTGGAAGCCTGCATGAACCCCAGAGACCCTGAGCTTTAAGCTCCACTGAGTACTTCCATGCCAGAGCTCCACAGTCAAAAGAGGGCCATTTGTGAGGAGATTTTAGGGAACCTATATTGCTTTTTGATCCAGGTGCTGGTTAGACAGGTGTGTTACTTTGTGATTTGTTTCATTTTTGTGGTATTGGGGATGGAACCAGGCTTCATGCATGCTAGACAGATACTCTACCATTGAGCTACACCCACCCCCAGTGTATCTATTTTAAATAAAATTTTTATTAAAGTATAACATTTTAATCTCTTTCACCAGTTAAGTGTTGAGCTGAGGATATAGCTCAGTGGTAGAGCACTTGCCTAGAAGGTACATGAGAGGCCCTGGGTTTAATCCTCAACACCCACAAAAAACAAAAAAAAATGCACACTGGGGACTATCTTTGGGAACACCTGTTGCCAAAAGCAGAAAGAAAGGGTATAGACTTTGAAATCAGACCCTTTATCTTTCTAAAACTAGCTGTGTGACTTTCACGAGTTCCCTAGCCTCTCAAATCCAGTTCTCCATGTGTTTAAATAGAGATAATACCTGCCTCCCAGCATTAGGAAGCTCTGCAAGGCCAGATGTGGAGGCTCATGCCTGTAGTCCCAGCAGCTCAGGAGGCTGAAGCAGGAGGATCACATGTTCAAAGCCAGCCTCAGCAACTTAGCGAGACCCTATCTCAAAAGAAAAAAATTTTTAAAGGGCTGGGATGTGGCTTAGTGGTAAAGCATTCCTGAGATCAATCCCCAGTACCAAAAAAATAAAAAATAAAAATAAAAAAGGAGCTGATATGTGTGGGATTGAATGGCAAACTCAACAAACTCAACAAACGTCCCCCTGAGGAGGATTGCTGGGAAATGACTCAAAGCTGCCCTTACCGCCAATTTGCTCTGCTGATAGCAGGTTTACTTATTGGTTTGCTTTTTATTTTATTATTTTTTTCTTTTTTTAATTTTAATTTGTTATATATATGACAACAGAATGCATTACAATTCAAATTACGCATATAGAGCACAATTTTTCATATCTCTGGTTTGTTTTGTTTTTTATTTAATTTAGTTTACATTTTTTGCCACAATTAGTAAAGGAATATCTCTTTCTGTACTATAATGTCCTGCCTGTCACCTTGCCTTACAGCCCTCATAATTCTCAAATAACAACTTCCTAAATCCAGTTTTCTTTTCTGTTTCTATCTGCTGA